TTAATCAACTAGTATTGCCGAAACTGGAGTTGAGCCCTGCGGTGTTTCTGTTATGCATGGCCAATCTGTCGCAGCGTTTATACATCCTTCTTGTCCATTCATCTGCTCAACGCCGCGAGGGCATGTATCCCCATGCTATGGAAATCGCCCCACGCTCATTTTCTGCGATAGTGGTTCTCTAAGGTCAATGAGATTTATCTAATGGAAGATTACTGCCACTGTTCATAATACAGAGGAGCAATTCCGTAGTACCTGGAGACAGGGCCGTAGATAATTTTTTTTCCTGGGGGGGGGTTCAGATGATTATGGCCTCGGACTTTACTCAGTGATCTCCTATTCTTGATGGGTTCTCTAGTGGTTCTCTAAGTTCAATGAGATTTATCTAATGGAAGATTACTGCCACTGTTCATAATAATACAGAGGAGCAATTCCGTAGTACCTGGAGACCTTGGCTGCATTATACCACCACTGAACCCTACTTGCTGATTATGGCCTTTACTCTGTGATTTCCTATTCTTGATGGGTTGCTTGAGTCAGGCTTGAGCCGAGTAGGTAATTTCAGTCTGCTGACCATTGCCTCGTGTGTCTTTGGTGGTCGGTAGCCTCCTTCTCTCTAATACCTCCTTTGCCTGTGTCCTTCTGTTCTCTCAATGTACTTCTCTCTTGTCAGTCGTCCTGCCATGCTCCCCTCCTTACTTCCTGATTCTTGGGTACTTCATCTACAGTGTCTGCTTCTTCTCTATCCTTATGTGCATAATATTAAATATTGAGACTCTCATTTCACCATTAATCCTGTTGGTTCTGGTTCTAAACCTAGCACGTAACCTAACCTTTTTGCCCTGAAAAATACCACCAAAAGAAAGGTCGATCTGTCTCCAAAAAAATAGGCTAAAATTCATTTGGGTACAGCGTTGCATAACCGAGTAATTGTCAGTTAAAATATCACAGCAATGAAAACTGAGAAATGGCCTGGTAATATAGGTGAGTTTTAAAGTAGGTAAAGCGGAACTCTGAAAACAAACATGTTCATCTAAATGTATTCCTCAATAATAATTATTGAGGAATATATTAAAAAATATTAATTCATTTTGTGTGTACCAAATTGCCTTGCAAACCCAGTTATTACCTTGTGAAATGAGTGGTGACATCATCTCTGTGCTGCAAAAAGCCTGTGCAGAGAGAGCAGAGCTGTGGTTGGGACCCAGCAGGCTCCACCCACTACAGGCTGCTGGCAGAAAACTACAGGAGGGGGCGGATACAAGGAGAGAAAGTAGCAGTGACTGGTCTTTGTTACAGGAAGTTTCACACTGGGTTACTGCACGGATCTGAAATAAATACACAAAGCACACCAAGATTTAACCCTTTCATGACTGAGCTTTTTTTGCTGTGTGATGCTTCCACGTCAGTAATGTACTTTCTTACTAAGTGCACCCACACATATTATATATTGTTTTTTAGAGGACAGATGAGGGGGTTAAATAAAACAAATTAACCCCTTAGGGTGAAAAACAATTCTGTAGCTCAGCTGCAGATTTTCATTGTCAGGGGTTAAGTTTTATAATAATGATAGTATAAAAATATGTATGTATAATTTTCATTTTTTTCAATTTATTTTTATTTCTTTACATTTTTTTAAAACTTTTAATTGACAGGGAGAGAAGGGGGGACATGACAAGCCGTTTTTTGTACTGGCTTGTCAATTATATCAAGCAGTCATTGTGAATAGATGTTACTATGACTGCTTGATCATTTAAATTAATTTCTGGTTATTATTAGGCTGCCCCAAACCCAGGGACAGCCAATAATAACCTTCCTGACACTAAACCAGACATGCACTGTCAGGATCAAATGTCACTAAAGACTTCGGATCATTGTGGCTGATTGCCGCAACGATCAGTTGCCTGAAACAGGCAGCTGTCGGCTTTTGCTGAATACTACTATGCTGAAGCATTTTTACAAAATGTGCTAATCCCAATTTGTACGACTGCCAACAGTGATAGGAAGTGTGGTTCACACCGCTCTCCTATCACTGTCAGACACACGATCACTGAAAGCGATCGGGTGTCTGAAAAAGCTTAAAACTTTCATTAATGGATCCCTCGTTAGTGAGACATCCATCAATGTACAGTGTACGTGAGCAGTCATTTGGGCACTTAGTGACAGGGACGTGCAGTGTACATGAGCAGTCATTTGGGCACTTAGTGGCGGGGACGAGCAGTGTGCATGAGCAGTCATTTGGGCACTTAGTGACGGGGACGTGCAGTATACATGAGCAGTAATTTGGGCACTTAGTGACCGGTATGCGCAGTGTACGTGAGCAGTCATTGGGGAACTTACTGACGGTTAGTGCAGTGTACATCTCCAGTCACTAAGGGGTTAAGTAAGAATACACATGTATTTAGAAAATATTTACTACTCATATCTCTCTCTGCTCTCTCTATATATTAAATTGTATATGAAGTTTTAGGTTGGGTTTAGAGTATAAAGATTGTATGAGTTTTTTCTCCCTGGAAACACTCTGCTTTATTAACATACATTGGTAAAGTCCACAACCTTGGCCATGGGCCCATTCACACCCAATGGGTTTGCTTGCATTAGAGTAGTAGTAAACTCTACAGGCCCATTCACACCATGTCTGGACCAGATCCTCATGCGTTTCAGCAAATGCGGTGCAAATGTTTTTGATGCATTCAGGTGCGTGTTCTTTAAAGCCTAAATGGACTTTTAGGTGCTTTCCAGTGCGTTTTGATGCATTTACATGCGTTTGGTGCATTTAGACACAATACAACCCTTTTTTTTCTCTTAAAAGTGACTTGTCTTTGTCTTCTCTGCTGACCTGTATCTGAATGCATGTAATCGTGCTCACCTGAATGGGCCCTAATTCTCCAGTTAGGTCATATGTAAAGTCTCTGAAGGATGATGAAAGTGAATGTATTGGTGAGTTCATTGCAGCCATGTATAAACATAGAACCAGCATGGACTCCAGCTCACTACCCCTGAGGCCGCCCAATACTAATAAAACACGCAATAAGTTAGACTAAGCTTCTCCCATGGAGCCTGATAGTACACTCTCTGCCTATGTGATACATCACTGCAAAACCCCACGCCGGCCACAAGATGGCGCTCCGTTCCATACCAGTGAGACCCCCCAGTGCCCGCCAATAATGCAGCTGCGTGATATGACCATTAGAGATGGGAAGTTCAAATCTTTAAAATGAATCGATTCATTTGAATCAGTTCATTCAAATGAATCGATTCATGAACCGAATCTTCGATTCACTTGCTGAGTCGGCTGACAAGCAAGTGATTCGAAGCTCAGGAGCTGTCTGATCCTTCATAGAAGATCAGAATCAGAAGGCTGATTCACAGAAGGGTGTCAGGCAGCTCCTGGGGAACATTGATCACAGTGCTCAGAACTGTCACAAGTCTGATTTTCTGTCAGATTTGCCATTCTATCAAATCAGGCAATGTGATCACAAAGTGACGCACAATCAGCTGCAACAGTGAGAAGCGTGTTCCTGCGCAGCGCATTCTGATGAGGTGATGTCACAGCTAACATGGCTAGCGGTCAGATTTTTACATAGTCTTTACAGTGTATGGGTGTGAATAACGATAGGATTTTACTACTGTGGCGCAGTACCTGTGATAGTAAAATCCAATCGTTATTGTGTTCTAAACACTAGGGACAAATCTGACCGTTATCAATGTTGGCTGTGACAACAGCTCATCAGAATGTGGTGCGCATGCGCAGTAACACGCTTTGGCAGTTGGCACAGTTGATCGCGCGTCACCCGAAGTGATAACATTGGCTGATCTGATAAATTGGCTGGTCTGACAGAAAGTCAGCCACATAGGTAATTAAACATAATACTGTGCAGGATTTTCTAATAGACCCGTAATGTCTCTATAAAGAGAGCCTGTCACCTCCAAATGCTATCACTTCGGGGCATGTTATCCCCTGTGTGACAGCAATAACTTTAAGTGAAAAAATATGTAAGGTGAAAAATAATAAAATAAATAAAAAGTTAAAACCAACTCAGCATCTGCATGTAAATAAACATATGAAAGGTATGCATGTGTATGTAAATTATGATTGCACCACTCATGTTACGTGTCACCGGTTGGGTGAAAAACTCAGGAGTGGAGGGGTAAATAATATAATTAAAAAGGAGGTTTAAATGTATTTTTATTTTTTTTTAAAAGACATGTTTCAGAAGGGATGATTGTTTGTACCTTTAACATACATATCTCCTTGAAAAGCCAATTTGATCCTAAAGGGTTAATTCAATCTGAATGAGGCTCTCCTCTGATCTAAACTCTGTGTAATTTCTCTTATCTCCCTCCCTGCTGTCTGTCCCAGCTGTCTGTCCCTTATCACTGCTGCAACCTGCTTATTAGACTCCGTGTATTGTTGTACTGGTGGTGACTAACAATTCTTTTAACTCGGTAACTCCACTGATGACTAAGGATTCTTTAACTAAAATAATCAAATGAGTCTACTAACTAAGTACAATCAGTCGATTCTTTTAACTAGTAGACTCATTAGATTCTTAGACTCCGTGTACAGTACATGGAGTCTAAGAATCTAATGAGTCTACTAGTTAAAAGAATCGACTGCTGTACTGTGACTCATAGCTTGCTTCACAGATCTGATTGGTTGCAGGGCTGGGCTGGGAGGAGGGGCTGGCAGAAGCCTGGCTTTCCTTTCAGTCTAGAATCATATTACAACGTGCTGCTGCTAGAGACTCTCTGCTAATCTGCTGTATGTCACGTCACACGGAGCTGCTTCAAAAACGGATCAGCTCACTCATGTGAATCGACTCCACCAGTTCACTGAACAGAATCGATTCAAAAGAACGATTCGTTCATGAACTGGACATCTCTAATGACCATCGTGTTCTCTCCCCACCTCCTTATCTACCGCGCATGTGCAGATTGTGGGCCGGGGGTCGGGCAGAGCTTCAGGCGGAGAGGCAGCAGAGGATGGAGAGGGTGTGACCCGGGGTCCGGCAGGAGATTCGGCTGGGTAAGTGGCTGTGTGTATGTGTGGGGGCAGTTGCGGGGGAAGCGGAGTGCATGGTGCTGGAAGTTGCAGTGATGGTTGGTGGAAGGTGTATGCTGTGTAGGAATGTGCAGCAGCTCCAGGCATGGAATATAAACATGTGATAAGGATGTATAGTCATCATCCAGAGATGGGCACATGTGCTGGCTGCTTGTATATGCTGGTCCAGCCATATGTGTGATCTAGATTTATCTGTGATCCATGCTTATCACATTGGGAATTTCTATAATGGTGGGACAGGCTCGCTCTATCTATCTATCATCAATGTCTACTGCTTTTCTTGATAACATTTGTCATCTACTAAGGTGGTACAGGACCATGCTGTAGCAATAATTGGATGTGGCCATCAGTGTAATTCTTTGCATAGACCTTGTTAGTATCCATTTGTTTTGCATAGCCTGCTGCTGCTGTGATTAGAGGCAGCCTGTCTCTGTCTGCATCTCAATTTACACACATAGCTGCCTACTATGTACTAAGAATTTAGGACCCCCCACCCTCTGCCCCAGTGGCCACATTCCAAATGTCTTTCTCTACTCGCATATAATTCTCAGTTGCTGGGCAGAGGTCTTTTTCCGCTGAAGTAGGCCATGCCAGCGATATGGGCAGCTTAGTGGTTGGCACTGCTGACTTGCAGCATTGGGGTCCCCCGGTTTAAATCCCGGCCTGGACACTATGTGCATGGAGTTTGCACGGTCTCTCTGTCATTGTGTGGGTTTCCTCCCACACTCCAAAGACTTGCTGGTCGGTTAAATGTGTGAAGTTGTGAATGTCCAAAAGGCACGCTGGTAGGATACGTGTCTAAAAATGGCACTATGCTGGGGGTGGACAAAGTAATCTGGAATTCAGGAGCCAGTCTGTCCAATCCAGGAATCGGCTCCATTGATAACAACTAGATAGAACTTCAGAAGTTAGGCACTAGCTGTCTAATTGGCTACCTGGTTCCTGAGATTTTTCAAGCCCACCCTAAAATGTCTAAATTGGCCCTGTAGTGTGTGTGTGTGTATGTATGCATGCATGTGAAATCAGGACCCTACATTGTAAGCTCATTGAGAACAGGAACGTGTGTGATCTAACAGTGTACCAGCACTGTGTAAATTGTGACTGATATACAAATACCTATATTATGATACTATCTAGACACCCAGCATGGAAGAGACTAGCCATGGTTTATGTCACATTGGATTCCATCAGCAGTAGGCAAGTTATACAAGAGATTCTCTCAGTCTGATTTAGGAGCCATATGTGCTTCTGTTAGATCGACGTGAGCAACTCTGCTACTCCAGCTGTGCTTTACTATAAACCTCAACATGCCTCTGTCTCTGGGAGCCATGCCTGTTGCTGTCAGTCTTGCAATGCCTCAAGGGTCTTGTGGTTTCACAACAGCTGGAGGGCTGGAGTTGCCCACCCCCCTGTCTGTGTTAGATTGTACCGGAACTCTTGTGTTGAGTAGCAAGTGTTCAGGTACTGTCCACATTTATGTTATTAGAGCTCTTCTTCTTTATTCTTGGAGGAAACTTAACAGTTTAATGAGGGAGCAGAATTACACATGCTTCTGCGTTATTTACAGTAAACGTTTGTTTAGATGTTCAATAACATACAGGTATACATTCACTTGCATATACCGTATTTTTCATCTATAAGAAGCCCCCATGTATAGGACGCCCCCCACTTTCCTTACCCAAACTTCAGAAATCAATATTTTCCATGCTCTTTTGCATAACTGATTACATCCAGCTTAAATGACAGCCGCTTACTGGTAGCGGTATTTACCGGTATTTTTTTTGTTTTCTGAAATTTTTATGGGCTCCCTGTTGCATCTGGGGCACTGGCTACACGCTCTCTGCAGCATCAGCTGACGTCGGGTACATAAGGCTCATGATTGGAGGAAACCTGTTAGCTTGTCTCTGCAATCGGAAGTTTCACTCGTGAGGCTAGTTTGCAGAGGTATCGACAGTTTCGCAACCGCGGTTCTCCTCTCGGCCCCCCGTGTATAAGACGCCCCTCCATTTTTAGGTGAATATTTTTAAGAAAAAGTATAGTCTTATACATGGAAAATTAGGTGATGGTATAGGTGATAAGTAATGCAAAGCATTAGGTGATGGTATAGGTGATGAGTAATGCAAAGCAAGAAAGACACCATGGGAATCTCATTGATGAGACAATTGTATTTATCCAGTCAGAGTGTAGGCAACTCTAAACATCTCCAAAGTGGAATCCAGCCCCTCTCAGCATTAATCCAGCTTTGACCCCCAAAAAAAAAAGTCTGAGAGAAGAAGAGAAGGGAAAAGGAGAGACGAGAGGATTGAGAGAAAGGAGACAGAGCATCGCTGTGGAGGGAGTCATCCATTGGATGTATGTTGTGTTCTATAGCTGTAGAAGCTGGTGGTCACATTTAGGTGGTAGGAATAGTTCACCCATGGGGCCCATATCAACTTCCAGCATGGTATCATGCAGCGCTGGTCTCCTTTTGTTGACTATTTTCCAAATGATGTGTCTCTTCACCTCATGGAGGCTAAAGGCTTGGTCCAGGATTCTGCAGTCACCTGCGTCATGGTTATAAATACTTTGGATAGAAGTTTTAACGTGAGTGGAGATGAGTCTAAAGGTGGCCATACACTCTACAACCATCGCAAGACCTTAGTCTTGCGATGGTTGTACAGGGATTAAAAAAACGTACGATCTGCCTATCTTGGACAGGCAGATCGCACTCTCGATCATCGCAAGCCCGCCCCCCTGAGGGGCGGGCTTCCGATGACCGCAATGCTGAACGGGCAGTGTGCGAGTGCGCACACCGGCCCGTTCGGCATTTGTCTTGCGAGCCCCGTTCTAACCAGCCGAGAATCGTACGATTCCCGGCTGGTTTTCGAACATGCTGGTTCGACAGAAGACGTGCGACCGTACAGTAGAAACGGTCACACGTCTCCGTTCACACTGCTCGATTCTCGTACGATCGCGGGATTTCCCGCGATTCTCGTACGAGAATCGGGCAGTGTATGGGCACCTTAAGGTTCAGAAGCACAATTGCCAGGTCTTTAGGTATTGGCTTGAAAAGTAGTATAGAGATAAGCGTGAAGGCCAGGGTTTGAAGGCTACTGGACACTGCTATCAGATATGTGGTGGTGTGCTGGTTCAATGCATCCATGGAATCACAGTGGAGAATAGTTAATTACGCACATATACTAGGTACCATCTCGATAATGGTTTTAAGTTTGCCTTTGCTTTACAGGATTTGGTGGTCAGCCAGATCTGCACTCCTGCATTATTCTTGCAGTTTAATAACAGATGGTTATAGATCTTACGTCAATATGCAGGAAATTACTATGAAACTAACTTGGAATGATCACAGATGCTTGTGGAGGGTGCTTGTAATGGGTGGAAAGGGAATACTGGAGTGAGGATGTGATGGAAGAAGTGGCCTGACCTTATGTCTATTAAATTCTGAATATTAACTAGATTTTTTTACCTTCATTACCAGCATAGGGTAACACAACAACTAGTCTGTGTCTCCCTTTTACAAAACCTGCCTCAATGGTGCTGCAGTAGTCCAGTAGTGCCAGCCAGTTCTGGCCCCTCTCTACAAAGTAGCATATGGCTCCATTCAGCCTTTATCTCCATGATGGGGTAACTTAAAGTAGATAGAAACCATAATTGGGTGACACGGACTTGCAGCCTCTTTACAACTACTTCTTGTCTACATCCATGAGCTCTAATTTCATGGCACCTGTATGGCTTCGCCATCAGGTTTCCTGATCATAAGAACTGTGGACCATGTAAGACGAATGAGACTGCGTGGCCGCTTATAATCTTCACTGGAAGTACATGCAACAACGAAGGGTAGCAATTGGGCGATAGGGACAGAGTGTTGTCACGCTATAACAGTGAATGTCCCAACAAGGAGCTTCATAGCAGGATAACCAGGTATTATTTAAAGATGAAGACTGAAGATGACCTGTTGTAATCCTAATAATTATTTGAAGCTTCAGTAATTGCATTTATCTATACTTTTAAAACCTTCATCCAGCACCACCAGTACAATGTCCTGTTTATTGTGAGTTCTTTGGGTTCCCCGCCTAATACTTACCTAGTGCCCTGTGGCTGCTGATTCATCATTTTTATGAGTCCCTCCACACATGGCACAGCAGGCTTCCATTTTGCCCCCAGCATACACGTCATAATGACACCAATCAGATGTCCATTGTGGATTCCAGATGTGCAGAGCCTGGCTCTGACCAGTACAATCATGGCCTTAGTTCAGCGCTAGGCTTGTTTAGATAACCTTTTGGGGCTGGTTCTGTGTGCTGAATGGAGACACCATGGGCACCAGGCTCCTGGAATTTGTTGAGCCTTGTCTCAGGTTTATGGACCCTTTAATCAAATCCCTCTGTTTTCTGCCTTTTTAAGTGAGGGTGCTTTTCTGTGAAATATAGTTGTTACCCAGCCTGTGGATACTAATCATTTTTTATAGTCTTTAATATAATTATATGGCCAGCTTTTATTTTTACTATAATACATTTAGAGATGCCAGCTTGATGTTAGCAGAGCGAACTATATTTGTCAGCTTTCATAATACCTTGTACAGCAAGACTCTGAGGAGATCCAGTCATGCCTTGCTATACACAGACAGATTGTCCAGAAGAATTGACCAAGATTCACTCATAATTCACTGAGCACTGTTACAATTGCTGACAAGTGAAAATGAAGGGAGATGCTTATCAAAAAGACTTCTATTACTTGTTTGAAAAACATTGTCTGCTGCTGATCATTTTGTAGAAATGTATCCGTGTATACAGCTGCTTTAATGTACGGAGTGGCTACAAAATGTAGTATAAAATGTGTCTGTATTATACGGTAAAAGTGCATCATCCATTTTTTACATTCAGTATTTGATGTCATTTGTGGTAGACTCATGTCGAGTTGTCTTTCCAATCTGCTTTTGCGTAGATGGCCACTGTTATATTTTTGAC